GGGGGGGGGGGGGGGGGGGGGGGGGGGGGGCATTTGTTTGAATGAATGAAATGAAGGGATGGTGCATGTGTGTGACTGTGTGTGTGTGTGTGTGAATGTTTGTGGGTGTGTGTGTGTGAGTGTGTGTGTGTGTGTGAATGTGTGTGTCTGTATGTGTGTGAATGTTTGTGGGTGTGTGTGTGTGGGGGGGGCATTTGTTTGAATGAATGAAATGAAGGGATGGTGCGTGTGTCTGACTGTGTGAATGTTTGTGGGTGTGTGTGTGTGTGTGTGAATGTGTGTGTGTGAGTGTGTGTCTGTGTGTGTGTGGAGTTTGCATATTCCGCTGATGTTCTGCAGGTTTCTTCCCTTTGTTCTAGTTTTCTACCACAGTCCAAAAACGCAAATATGTGAACTGGCTTCTCTAAATTGCCCAGAGAGTGTGTCTGTGTGCCCTGTGAGGGGTGGGTATCCTGTCTAGGGTATCCCCTAAATTTCCTGGTATTGGTTCCAGATTCTTCATGGTCCTGTACTGGACAAGCAGATAGAAACTCAGAAATTAACTTAAGGTTTGTTGAAACCAGTTATATTGTTGTAAAACTGGACAAGATCCAGATACAGAGCAGCCGGAGCCAGGCTGTCCCGCCCACCTGTGATGTCAGGTTATCTGTCCATTGGATTGGACGGTGTGGGAGACAGATACAGAGCAGCCGGAGCCAGGCTGTCCCGCCCACCTGTGATGTCAGGTTATCTGTCCTTTGGATTGGACGGTGTGGGAGACAGATAACTGCTGGGACAGGATGTGAAATGAGGTGTGCAGGAGAAGTGCAGATGGTTCGTGGGTCTGGGGAAAACAAAAAAGCAGGACACAGTCCTGAAAGACGAAGACAAAACAAATGGGTTATAAGAGTGCAGCTAAGAAGGAGTGAGACGAGATAGAGCAGACCGGAAAGTGCTCAGAGAGCAGGATGTCAGGGAGGCCTGGTTATAATTAACCTCTTAAGGACCATCTCCGTCCCTTGCAGACAACATGGGTCTAACATGAAAGGTGGATGGATGAATGGATGGCAGGATTTTTGCCTGTTCACACATTTCACAGTGGATATAAAAAGTGAACACACTCCTGTTGAAATGCCAGGTTTTTGTGATGCAGGTTTTTTTATATATATATTTTTCCCCTAACAGTTTTGTTTTTCAGTTGAATTGTACAGGTTAATCTGAGTCACTTTAATTGATGGCAGGTGTGTACCCGAAAAAACTGAATGCTGTAATTAAATCAAAATGTGCTTCAACAAAGTGTTACTTTATGGGTGTGTGCACTCATGTATGTTTTTTATTTTTTACGTTTTTTTCCCCATAACAGATTTTTTTTGTTTTTCAGTTGAATTGTACAGGTTATAGGTCACATTTAAGGTGGGGAAAGTTTTGAAATGATTTATCATGGTCACTGGCATTTTAATGGGGGTTGTGTACACTTTTTACATCCACTGTACATCAGAGACTTAAAAATTTGACAACAAATGGTTACAAAAATGAAAGATATCCTATGAAGTCTGTCTTTTTTTTTTCTTTGAAAAATATTTTTCCAGGCTGTTCCTCTGGTTGGATGTCAGTTTCATCCGAAACCCCTGTGTCGCTCTCTCAGTCTGGGAAAAACTTGTTGCAGATGCCAAAGCTTTAAACTAAGAAAATGAATATTAATGTAATTTTAATTTAATTTAAAATTTATTTTAACTTAATTTAATCAAGGTCCTGCTTTTCATTAATCGCACCTTCATAATGCATTCATAGAAGATTCATACGCTTCTTAAAATCAATCAGCAGTTTTAATATACATTAATAACAAGCATTATATGATAACAAACATATTCATATAACGTTTGTTATTAATGTGTATTAAAGCTGTTGTTGTATGTTAGGATGTCATGGTATACTTAAATAATGCTTATATATGTTCTATGAATGCATTATGAAGGTGAACTGAATATCCTGTGAATACATTATAAAGGCATTATGAAGGTGCACTGAATGTTCTATGAATGCATTATAAAGGCCTTATGAATGTGCAGTTAATGTAAAGTGTTACCGAATATTATGCGGCATAAAAATTGCTACAACCAGATAACCATATTATCATGTGAAAAATCATTAACCTGGTGTTGATCTGTTTGAACCTGAGTGAGATGCAGTTGGCCAGTTGGAGAGTTAAGGCTGGGCCGGGCGATTTTCCAGTTCATGTCAGCCATTGAACCATGTTGACAGAAAGAGGGGTTAATGGCAGTGTGTTTGGGATAATGGCGACTTACGCCGAGCGCTAATGCATTTCCGCAGTAATGCTGGCCAATGTGAGGATTCCCAGTGCTCTCACAGCGATAGTGGTGAATGGGCAGCGTCAGTGCAACAGCCACTAATGTGATGTGGACGGACACACCCTGTCATCATGGGGCGAGAGGCTGATGGGATCATTTATCCCACCGACATTCCCTGTTCACCCTGCAGTGCTGCACTGTTCTTTTCACGTTACCATAACGTTGACTGAAATTATTTTGCGGTGGTTGTCTAAACCCTGCTGGATTTTGTAGATTTCAAGGCCACCCTATATATTACAGAATCTCGCAGACACTCCAAGCCCCCTGTCTAGCATCCAGCCCACCTGTGACCTCTTTTTAGAAGCTCTGTAATAGACGTGAGAGCCAATACCGGTGCATTAATCCTGGAATCTAAGGGCTAACAGTGTCAAGAAACGGACATCTTGCTTTCAAATAAATGCAGCCTGTCTCCCATCCTCATCATTTCCAGCTTGTTAGGTGACCTCGCATGCATGTGGGATTTGCAGCCGCTCCTCTGCACACGAAGTAAATAAACATCACTCATGGACTGGGGGCAAAAACAAATCAAGTGGTAGGAGAGTTAATGCAGTGAGGAGGCCAAGTCGTGATTGAGAGAGGGGCATATGTTATGGACCTTCTCAGTGGAAGCGTTGACCCTTCAGTATTGTGTTGATGCTCTCAGTGGGAGTAGAGCAGAGTGAGATAGAGATCATGAGCTCGATTGCAGCAGGCAGTGCGAGTCCAGGCTGGAGAAACTCGATTGCGTCACGTGGCCCGTAAACGTGCTTGAAGTTACTGCCCGTGTTCTACAGATCTGTGCCCTTGTCTGTTTTCTAGGTTTGCCACCGTGGAAAAGGAAGGGCTGCTTCTCTATAATGGCCGCTTCAACGAGAAGCACGACTTCGTCGCCATGGAGATCGTTGATGGGCAGGTCCAGATGACCTTCTCCGCAGGTCCGCTTTCGCCGGCTCTCCAGTCCAAAAATGGCCGGGCTTTCGGCGGGATGCTGTTTGATGTGTGAAACTGTACCGTAAACGTCTGCAGGCCTGAAAGATTGTTGCCGACTGGAAATGTGGAACTTTACGATAAGGACCGTCAGCATCGGCACCTTGGCAGGGTCGCTCTCTGGCTGGTTAGCGATATGCAGTGTTAGCATTATGGCCGGATGTTTCAGGCTAGCATGACCGCTGCTTAGAATTAGGGGATGTTAGCATTGTTTTAGATTAGCACTGCGGCAGCTTATCGAAATGACGGGTGAGGAACTGTGCTAGGTCAGAGATTGTGAGAGGAAGTGTCGTTAGGGAGAAGGGTCACATGACAAGTAAGACACCGATGGTATATATGCTCTGATCACTGACATTTCACTGTGCAGGAGAGACCAAGACGACAGTCTCGCCTTTTATCCAGGGGGGTGTAAGTGATGGCCAGTGGCACGTGGTGCAAATCCACTACTACAACAAGGTAAGGAGGCTGGTGTCTGACACTGTAAGTGCAAAGCACAACTCTCCTTTTGCACGTTATAAAGGATATGCAAAAATCAGCTTTATGTCTCTTGTTTTTTGGAGTTTCACAGTTGAATAGTGGGGGGGCGGTGTATAGTTTTGTATGTTTGGACATAATCGTAAGGTGGTTGGTTCAAATCCTACGGTGAGCACAGTGATTTCATCATTGGGCATTAAACCTAATTGCTCCAGGGATTGGCTGATCCTGCTTTCTCAGCTGTGGGTCGCATCAGATCGAAAGACTTCTGCTAAGTAAATGTCGGGGGGGCACAGGGCTGGGGTACGGTCTGGGTGGGATGCCAGTCCCTCTCAGGGCACGCTCACTCCAGAGTATCTGCAGGAAACCCCAAATGACACGGGGCTAACATTCAAAATCCACAGAGACTGGAGGCAAGAGTCAAACCCGCAGCCTGGAGGTGAGGTGTCAGTATTAGCTGCTGGGTCCGCGTGCCGCCACGTTACAAAGCAATTTACAGAATTTATATGTGAGTGAATGGACTGAATCATTTCTTTGTTGTTTGCCTTGGCTTATCTTATGACACGTGCTGCCAACTTGGCACTCATAACCGCGTTAAAAAATTAGGAGAGGAAAAAAATAGCTGAACGCGAATGAAACAGTTTGAAGAGACTTGGCAGATGTGTGTTTCTGCTCCGAGCTTGAGTTCCCAAATTGCTGCTTTGAGCGGCTAGACGTCTGCTCAGTGATTGTTGCTGACTGTCTACACAGCTTAATAATAATAATAGTATTAATAATACATTATTGATCCCCATGAGGAAAATCTCTTTTAACCAGCAAAAAGCAGCCACGGATGTCACTATTCAGCTAAGAACGGGATTCAAACCAGCCACCTTCTGATCACAGACCCAGCAGATTAGCATGCTAAGCCACACAAATAAACGTGTATCTATCTCTCCAGTTTCTGTTACCGGCTACCTGTTGCAGGGTTGTGGCCAGCCGGCCTGGACTGCATCCCAGAACACGCCGGGCGGGAGACAGGGGAACAGAGTGTGCAGTCACACCATGAGGGCAATTTAGAGATGCAAAATCGCCTATCTGCGGGTGGAAACTGGTGTGGCTGTAGGAAGCACAGACAGGGAGAGCAAACCTCACACACACAAACCAGGAGGCGTGAAGCCGCAAAAGTACCCAGTAACTGACCAAGTCTCTCTTCACAGGACATAATTAGCCCAAAACTGAGATGGCAGGTTAGCATTCTGGCAGGTTGTACAGTACCAGCAGTGGGAAGCTCTGCATCACTCGCGATGGTAGTATGGGCATTCTGCTCAGTTATCTGGTTTGTATTCCCACTAATGCTGTGAAGTGTGTGACTCTATAGTTTCTGTTAGTATGTTTTCTTTCTGCTTTTCTATATTCGCTCCCATTGACCCTCCTCACTCCATTTCCACTCCGTTCACTTGCCTCTCCCACGCTGCCCAGCTTCTGAGTCGCTGTTTTTAGATTCCTGTTGTCAGTTTTTCCAAGCAGCGCCTATGTCTGCGACAGCCAGTAGCACATAATGTTCTAAAGCTGAGAGTTTGGAAGATGGATTTTGGGCAGTGCTGAATTACTGGAAGCAGCAAAATACAATAACTGTAAAGGAAAAAAATGCAGAAGCTCATGAAATTGTGAAGGAGAGAAATTTAAGAAAAGTCTTAAGAAAAACTGTGAAGGAGAAACAAGTTGATTGTCTCTATTACCAATTCCATCAAATTTCTTTTGTGGTTTCAGTATATTAATAGTGTTTTGTCTCGTGAATACATCAAAATGTGATTGGTTCAGATTTGCCAATGGAGTTGAAGGCTGCTTTACTGATCTTTTGGCTGTTTTATTGTTTCATATACTTTCATTGTGTTACATGACTGCATGTGAGACCTTCTCCTTAATTCTGGTGTGGCACAGAGATTCCCTGACCTGTTCTGCATATTAATTTGGAAATGACCCCCATCTTGGAGTTGCCTGGTTCCACTGAGGTGGGCCTGTGGAT